AAAAAAAATACAAATAAATAAATAATAAAATAAAAAATCTTAAAAAAAGACAAATTTATATCACTGACTTGGTATTCTGAATTCAAATAAGTATGAACAATCATGTATCATGCCCTTAATTGCGCAACATTTTACAACTGGAGGGGAACCCGAAAGCTTACTGTGGTGAATGGGGTTATGGCCCAGAAGGTAAGCATATTCCAGTCCCTGGACTCTGTAAATGCCACTTTTTATGGCAAAAGGGCTATGCATATATGATTAAAGACTTTGGGAGAAATTAATTCGGATTACTGAGTGGACTCTAAATGTAATCCCGACTGTTCTGACTAGAAGGAGGCTAAAAAGATTTCACAGGGAAGAGAGGAAAGCAGTATGACTGTAGGAGCAGAGAGGCTGATGCACTGATAAAGCAAAGGGTGTGGCGGCCACCAGAGGACGGGGGAGGTGGAGCAGATTCTCCCTGGGCCTCCTACAGAAAACAGCCTTGCTGACACCTTGACTTTAGTTCCCTGAGATTAATTTTAGATTTCTGGCCTTAATAACTAAGAGAATTAGTTTCTGCTTCTTTATACAACTAATTTCTAAAATTTTGTTACAGCAACGATAAGAAAGTAATGTGGTTACCTAATCCAACTGTGCTCAAACTGCTGGCAAATTATGTTTAAGACTTCCATGATGTTTTGGGGAGCAGGGATGTGTGTGGAAAAGGAAAAGACTGTGATGTGTGGGTGTACTTAATTTTACAGAGTGAAACATCAACATCTTACTACCAGATATGATCAGATATTATATTTGGGTACTATAAAGTATATCAATAAAAACATTTTCTCTTCTTTTTGTGGAGCTAGGGATTACACTCAGAGGCTTCTGATGCAGGTTCTCACTAAGTCACTACATTGCACAGTCTGGGTTCAAACTTGTGCGCTCCTGCCCCAGCCTCCGAGTCTGAGATTATGGGTGTGCGCTTCCGCTTGGACAAGGGATTTCTGAAGTCTTTTGTGAGCATTCTACTTTCTGGAGACTAAAGGAAAATGAGGCCAAGTGTCACTCTGCTTGGAAAATTGGTAAAGGAATATCAGTGTGTACAGAGGAAGAAGGGAAGCAAATACCACACTAAATATCTGTAAGTTCATGTTAATTTGTAAAAAGTGAGAAAAATACTTTCACCCTTAAATGTTACTTCGTCTCTTCCTTAGATAAATCCAGTGAATCAAGAGTAATGAAGCCCTTGCTTACTTGATGAGTTAAACATGATATAAATGAGTCAGGCAAAGATGAGGCCCTGTCTCTACCACAGCCTGGAGAAGACAGACAACACGGAGGAGGCTGGCCTGGCCTCAGCCCTGGGAGGCAAAAGGGCATCACAAGAAGGCTGAGTACAGGTCAAGGAGGATCGTGACTCCTTGAAAGGATTTATCTGAGGAAGAGACGATGTAACATTTAAGGGTGAAAGTATTTTTCTCACTTTTTACAAATTAATATGAACTTACAGATATTTAGCATGCACATTGAAAAACCCTCTCTAATGAGGTTTTGAATCCCACTGTACATCTCCTAATTCCTCTTGGAAAAGGCCACTAGTAGAACAATCCAGAAAAAGTCAAGTCATGAGTTGAGAAATGTCATAATCATATTATCTATTAAAAGACACATCCCACTGGGAGGTTGAGGCAGAAGAATCTCATGTTGGAGCCCAGCCCTGGCAATGTCAAGGTTTAGTCTTTCTTAAATTAAGAAAACAGCATGTAAAAAGGGCTGGGGATGTAACTTAGTGTGGAGGCCCTAGTTTGAGCTCCAGTTTCATAATATGTACGTACACACAAACATAAGACACAAGCATCTCAAGAGAGAACATCTGGCTCATAACCGTAGGACTAGGAACTAGAGAAAGGCGCATGTGTAATGGTCCTACTATTGCCTTCTTTGTTCATATTAAACCAACCTTTTATCCTTTTACTAAGGGCCCAGTGTGAAAGCATGATAGATTTAATCAAGTTATGCAGGGAGGTTAGACGTATTCAGTTAATACATGTTAATATAAGAGCCACAAAAGGACAGACCAGATGAAGTAACATGCGTAGCAACAACAGTTGTTCATGTTATCGCGAGGTAATTTAACTGCAAAATTTCAAAACAATTTTTTCCTGAAAATAAGAAAAGCAAATTTGAACACTAGATTAGCAGAGAAAAAATCCTAGTTTGTATCTCAAAATGCCATGCTCCACAGGATAACCATTTAAGAATCATAGCTCTAAGCAAGCAGTGTGGCATGCACGTGAGAGGCTGAGTGGCTTACCAACATCACCTGGCTAATCTGTGTGAGCGTCAGAACGCGAAGCCAAGCCTCTCGATTCCCAGCCTACTACTGATCTCCTTACACCACCCTTTATATACGCAACTGTAAGACTGATCAAGGCTAAACATCTGTCACAGTTGTGGCTTAGGTTTATTTATATCTTCATTACAAAGGCTATTTGTATATTTTAACTATGCCTTAGCCATAAAAACATTCACAAACTGCAAAATATTTATGTATTACTAGTTCACATATTACTTTAATCAGTCTTATTATTTAGAATAACAACAGAAAAGTGAAATGTTTATCTGATTCATAATTTTATGCATTGTGACAAGTGCTTAGTTTTTAAGTATAACACAGTCTCAAATAGGTCAAAAGAAAAGATTCTTCAAAAAGTTAAAGGAAAATAGTAGCTCATTTTTTAGAGAAACAGAACAAAAACAAATAAACATGGAATACATCAGGTGTTTTGAATAGAATGTCTTTACCACACAGGAGAGTCTGTGAGACTCTAAGTTAGCAGAGGTGACAGTAAGAACATAACTTCTAAAATATCGCCACTGTTTACACCTCCCACAAGCAGTGCCATGTATTCTCCTTGTGTTAGAATAACCATTTTACTATTTCACTCATTCTAAAAATAATCAGCACAGTGTAGTTCTCGGAGTTTACCTGAAAGAACGCATCTTTTCTGCTATTGGGTATGCTCATGAAAAGGGTCACATAGCTTTCTGCAATTCTATCAAATAGGCGATCTTGATCCTTTCTGTCAGGCTTAGAAATAAAATATAATAAAGTTAATACTACCACTGAAAATAGGAACATGACTTTTTCCTATGACTTTTAATTTCTTGTTGGAGAGTTGGACGTAGTGAATAGGCCAATAGAAACTGAGGTATACACTATATGTGCTTGGCAATAGGCATGCCTCTTAAGTCTTTCGGGCTTGAATCAATTAAGAAGTGCTGACATGTATTTGGCTTTTGTTTCTGCTCTGGTTATTCTCAGTAAATACAGACTTCAAATTCCTCTTGCACTACCTTGTTTGAATGGTCTCAAAGACCATCTTTTTACTTTTCAAATTTCTTGTTTTCCTGTTTGTATTTGTATTGACTTACTCTGATCATTATTACTTCCTTTCTTCTGATTGCTTTAAGTTTCATTTGTTTTCTACTTCATTAAGGCAGAAGCTGTGATCATAGTTTTTTAGAACCTTCTCTTTTCCCCCCAAATATAGGCATTTTGATATTCATGTAACTTTCTAATACTGCTTCAATGAAATTCCACAAATTTCTATTTGTGTTTTCTTTTTCATTCAGTTCAAAATAATTTCTGATTTGACATGTAATTGTCACAAGTGTGCTAGTTCCAGATATCAAGAGATTCTTGCATACATCTCCCAGCTTTTCAGTCTCAGTGCAACACCACTGCACTGCTCGGCTTTCCCGTTCCTGAACAAAACACCTGACACTGCGACTTAAAGGAGGAAGGTTCTTTTGGTTCAGAGTTTCTGAGGCTTCGGCCAACGGTCAGCTGGCTCCAAGGTGAAGCATCATAGTGAAGTAAGGAGAGCTGCTCAGCACATGGCATCTGGGAAGCAGGGAGCAGGACAATACGCAGAAGGGAGAGGGGCAGGGACCCGAGAGCGCTCCTAAGGTTACAGCCCTGCAACCCACCCTGACATATCTAGAAATGTGCTTTACCAACCTCCTGAGTATCTCTCAAGCTGAGCAAGTTGACAGTCAAATTAACTATGGCCTTGCCTTGTCTGAAAATATACTTTGCATGAGTATGCTTGAATTATTAGAAATTTATTGGGATATATTCCTAGCTTAAAATATAGTGTATCTCGGTAAATACTTGATGTGTACTTGAAAAAAAATATGTATTGTGCTGTTGTTGAGATGCTGTGGTTTCAGTGTGTTCTCTCAGTGGGGGTTCATGTTGGAAACCCAATCCCCAACATGTTGATGTTGGCAGGGGACACTGTGGGAGGCTTTGGGTCACGGAATGCACCACCCAAGGACTGCTGTCATCGCGGGAGTGAGCCAGCCTCCTCTCCCTTTCCCAGTGTTTCTCTTTCTCCTCCTTCTTCCCTTCTTCCTCTATGCCTTACAGCATTGGAGACTCAGGAGAAGGCCTTTCCCGGATGCTGGCCCCTCCACCTGAGACTTCCTATCAGGTATTGGTTCACATACATTACCTATTCTGTAGTATTCTGTTTTAGCAGCACAAAATATATTAGGACACAAGGGATGCCTCAGAATTGTCAGGGCAAGCTGTTCACCAGTACTGCTGAAGTCTTCTATGTCATTCCTGATTTTCTGTAGGTTCTGTATATTTTCTGCTAGTTTCTGAGAGCGAGGTACAGAAATTCTGAACTATACCTATAGATCTGTCTATTTCTCCTAGCAGTGCTAAAAGATTTTATAAAACATGTTTTGAAGCATTTTATGAGGTTCAGAAGTATTCAGGATTAGTCTGTCACTTCAGTGAACTGACGATTTTGTCATGAGATTACTTCCTTTATTCCTTCTTTTTTGTAGGATGAGTTAAAAAACTACTGTCATGTTGTGGGTTACATAGTTTTTGTTGTTGCATGATTGAGACTGATGCACTTTCCAGCTATTTCTTTTGGAGGAACCAAGGATCCAAGAACAGTTTTTAAAACATCAAAATGTTACTAAAGTATTGCTATTCTTACTGAAATTCTTCTACTCAAATACTATCTCTTTAGTTTTCTTTTCTTTTCTTTTCTTTATACAGGGAATCAAACTCAGGACCTCACACTTGCCAGGCAAGTGCTTATGCCACTGAGCTATCTCCCCGCTAATACTATCTTGCGTGCTGCTTACTTCCATTCTCTTACTGTTTGCCAGATACATCCCCCCTTTATCTGTTTAATCCTAGTCAGAATCTCTGCCTTTCTGAATCATGATAAGACCTTACTGTTTTGTAAATGGAACCTTCCCCAGTGTCCCGGATCTGCAGCAGACTTTTTGCTTAGTGTGTGCCACCACACACTAAGGTTAAGTAAAGATACAACTTTATTATGCACTACAGTGTTTGATTTCACTATTTTTTTTTTTTTGATTTATGAAGATTTGGAATCTTGGAAATCCAGAGTGTTACTGCTACTGAAAAATTTAAGTGTGCTGCAAATGAACTCATAAAATGAAGTTTAAAATATGTCATTTACCTTAAATTTATAGAGAAACCACCACCAAAAGCAGTCATGCAGAAGAGCAATGGAGGCTTCTGAGAGGAAATGTGTTCTCCAAATTCTAAAAACTATTTGCTGGGGAAAAGAGAGATACATGGATATCAAATTTAAATATACCACAACATATGTTAATATAAATGTACCTTTTGAAGAATATGTATTTAATGGTGATAGATGAGTATTATTCAATATTTAACATCATCATATATATTTTCTAGTAGATATATTAAAAAAGTAAAAGGTAAAATTAATTTAAGGATTATTTTAATCAAATACCTAAAATTCTGTCACTGTACAATTGATTTTTTTTTTTTTTTGTGGGACCAGGGATTGAACTCAGGCCCTTGCACTTGCCAGGGAAGGGCTTATTCCACTAATCCATCTCCCCAGCCCCTGGTACGATAATTAATAAAATATTTTTTATTCTTTTTGATACTAGATAATTGAAATTATATGTATTGAAATACACTTTTTATGCTTATAGCATATGTCAACTACTTTTAGCAAAAAGTATTAAATCATATGTAGACTTTGTAGTTTTAACTTCATTCCAAAAATAACTTAAAAATTTTTAAATAATGAAGTCGTTCTTACTTTTAAACTTATATAAATTGATTTAAAAAAATGAGATAACAAAGCAGGGCCTCAGTCACACTGGCTGCATTTCAAGTGCTCAGCCTGCCTCGTGGTACTGAAAGGATGGCACAGGACAAAGTGGGCCAGCGAGGACGGGCGTGCCATGGCGCTCCTCTTTCTTCCTGGAGGCAAGTACAGCATGAACCAGAATTTGACCCAAATTGTCCCCCTTAATGAATCTGTCTGAACATGGGATTCTTCTAAGAAGATAACTCATCAAAATTGGGATATAAGGTTAAGTCCACTTTATAACACTTTAAACTGTAAATTTTGGTTCACATAGGTAGATTCCACAGATCATTTTATGTTCTTTTTGCTTATTTTTTTATTTTATGCATTTGATACAGGGTCTACAGGGTCTCACTATTAAATCAGACTCGCAGTGACCCTCCTGCTTTCAGCCTCCCAAGCGCTGGGATTATGGGCGTGCGTCACCACGCCCAGTCTATCACCATCGCAGTGCACCCCAGGGGTGGGGCAGCACAGCAGGCTGGGGATTGAACCCCGGCCTCCGTGCTCCTCCTAAGCAGGTGCTTTGGTCTGCTGAGCTATCTGGCCAGCCCCATTTTATGTTCTTATTCACAAAAAATTTTGTATGCTGGATTTAGTAGAATCTACCATTTCTTTTAGAGGAACACATAAATATGATTTCCCGTTCCTCAAATGCAAGTAAACAAAAAGAACAAAATACAAACTTGTACAGAGGACGATTCTTTATCATACCCTCAGAGAGGTACTTCTCGCTTGTAAGCCACTAAATATAGCATGGACTTCACTGAAGCCATTTCAATTTAGTCTTCGTCATTTTTAACTGCAAAGAACCTACGTGGTATATATAAACATGAAAAGTGGGCCACTGAAATACAGAGGAGAAAATAAGCAGGCTTACAGGCAATCACCCAGGCCTGGCCATCCTCGAAATCCTCGGCCTTCACTCTAGTGACCCTTCTACTCTTGCGGTGTTTCGTCCTTTGGTTTCTCTATAGAGATACTACATACACATCCTGTATTTAACAGGAACACAAGAAGGCTTGTGGAGAAGGGCTTTGGTAAGTTACTGCAGGGTTAGAGTAGAAGGCTAAAGTATCCTGAGCTGATGGCCAGGAAGAGAAGAGAACGTGCCCGCCTGCTGCCCACCGTTACCCCAGACTCCCAAGGCACTACATGATGTCGAATGCCGGCTCCTCGGGTGAGCAGGGCATTAGGATTGCTGGTCTCTCTCAAAAAACTTAAAAGCATAAAGGATCAAATATTAACACCAAACTATCACAGTTTTAAAGGTTTGATTTAATAAATAATATTCTTAAGGTTTATTATAAAATAAAATGATATTTACATACATCAAAGTTGTGAGCTTTTAAAATAAAAAGATAAATCCGTTTAGCATCCAAATGTCTGGGTAGCTCAGTAAGTTCACTTGTTTTGAATCCTGAGAAGTCATAGCCCTAGAGAGAAGGAACACACAGAACAATAATGCATTCTTCTCAGCAAGTAGTCTAATCTGCCTACAGAAGCCAGGTAAATATGTAACTGTCAATCAAGTGACAAGTATTTTACGTTGCTACATTAAGTAAAAAATTACATATCTCTCCTACAAAACATCTTCATGGTATCTGCTTTATGAAATTAAGAGCGCTTGCATTATCACAGGCTAATTAAAAACAAAAGGAAACTGTATTTCAGAATACATTTTGGTAGATCCTCAAATGATCAAGTGTTTTAGCTAGACCATATACAAGAGATAGGAACTAGGCAGAAGAGAGGATGTTGCCATCCCTGTTACCAACTCTCTTTCTTGGAACCTCTCCTCGGTAGCTATACCTATATTATAAACATTCTTTTAGATACAAGTACTACTTTCGATATACAATAGGGCTGAATAAAAATTTCAAATACCTCTATATTCTTCTCTGTCTCCATCTCATTTGAAAGCTGTAAAACATTGAAAATAAAATATTTAAAACTCTCCATCCAAAAAACATATTCATCAACAATATTTATTAAAGTTTTTGTTAATATAGTTTATTCAAATGTAATTTCAACAGATCCTAGAAAGTATTCTGATAAAATTCAGCAGTGAGAATTTTAAAACTTCTTTTGCATAAAACTTTTAACTAGTAATATAACTACCAGTGTCCCAATGTTCTCATATCCTAGGACAGATTATCACTGATACTTCAGCATTTGGCTCAACACTATAGTTGTAGAGACATTCCCCTTCATGGAGAAACCAAGCACCTTTTCTCCTCCTTTTCTTGCAATATAGTCTTAATTTTCTCGTTTTGGTTCACAACCTCATTTATCAACACGTAAGACCACAAACTCAGTTTCTACTGAATTAATTGTTTCATGTTTTGGAGGTCCAACCACGATTTGAGGCTAACAGGGGGAAAGCCCCAAATGGGGAGTTTTCATTGTCGTTGTCTTCTTCTTGCAATATATTCTTGCTAAGTGATTACATTTAAGAGGTAGGAGGGAGGTGAGATGGGTGCTTTCTTGCTTTTTCCCTGGATGGCCTTATGTTTATTCAGTCATTTCCCTTGTGTTTGGGTAAATTTGGGGACAATATGCTTCATATAAAAAGATAAGAGTTGGGTTCAATCATACGGAGAAGAATTAAAATAAAGATAGACCATGAACCAGGACTTTGCAGGCAACATGGAATGCATCCCCGTCCTGACTAAAAGGAAGTTGTAGCCACCTGCTATTAAGCTTCTAAAATGGGAATTAGCCAGATTTTCTCTAAAATCCCTATTTCCTTTAAGCCCCACATGCTGAGTAACCAGGTAAGAGAGCCTGAGCTCCAATTAGTCCTAGTAAGTCCAGCCATCCATGATAGATGGCCACCAGGAGACCAAGGGGTGCCATGGGCTCAGTGCAACCAGGGAAAGCACTGGCCTGCGAGGTCGCTGGGAAGTCCACTTCTCAGGTTTTCCTCCTGGAGAAACCTGGAGGGTTTTTTCCCTTCTTCTTATTTCCAATCAAAACTTCCCCCAATTTTTTCTTTCAAAGACTATAGTTTGAAAATAAAATGCAAAGTTTATATATAAAAGAGTAGGAACTTTGGATTCCACCTAAATGTAAAGATATAAGTAAAGAAGTGGTAACTATTTTTTTCCACAATTTTATTGATAAACAAATAGCAATGAGACAGTTTCAAATCAAATTGGCAGGACAGTTTCAATAATCAACACATTGCATTCATTCTTCCCAGTGGTTAATTGCTGTACAAGATGCGGACATGATATCCTATCTACAAACACCATCAGAACAAATCATTCTATTCATTGAGAGAATGTAACTATATATCTA